TATTCTTTCCGAATATAACTTTACCGATACACTCAAGTTCAACAATCGCGCTAAACAAATGCTATAACAACGAACGTCAATAATACTTCTTACTAATTACTTACTATCTATACACACATTCCATTGCCTTCTTTTATATACCAGCCTACCCTATATCTAGTAAGAACTAGAACATTCGCCAAAGTACATGATAGTTCTAGAAACGTTGCGTCACAGTAGTCACGTGACTCGCTGACGCAACAAACTGCCACAGGTTTTACAAATGACACAATAAATTGTCCATTCAGTAACATACAAAGGATTTTGTTGTTTTGAAAGTTGTCTTTTTTTTCATGTATGTGTGTAATGTTGTTTATATATATGGGCAGGTAACACATTTATTTCGCTTACATCTTTGAGTGCCTAGTGTATTATGTTGTTTTTGTTTAAGGCTGATTACGTTTAGGTTTGTGTCATATATATTAGTAAGCAATATGGGCGAGACCATGAAAATATATTTAGTGTTTGGTTCTCCAACAACCATTGTGTAATTTTTAGTATAATATCTTTGATCTATTTGTTGGTCTGATGGTATGTTAACACAAGTGTAATACGATTGGTGTGTTCTTTTTTAGTAGGTGTGAGGGTTTGTTCCTGGTATATAGACTAGATTTTGTGACTGTATCGTAGATCAAAGAGTCAAGATAGCCCCTTTTAAAGAAAAAAAGTTGCATTTCTTTTGTTTTTCAATTGTAATAATTATCGCCACTGCATAGTTTGTATAATCATAGTAAGTGCAAGTATGGTGTTAACTCTTTGTTACTATACAGATGGAAAGATTCGAAAACTAGTTGGGTTGTCTTGAAGAAGATTGTATAAATCACTGTCGGTAAGTTGTTTTAAAATCTTTACTTATATATAGGGCGCGGCATGGCCAGGTGGTTAGGGTGCTTGACTCGCAATCTGAGGGGTCGCGGATTCGAATCCCCGTCCCACCAAACATACTCACCCTTTCAGCCGTGGGGGCGTTATAATGTGACGGTCAATCCCACTATTCATTGGTAAAAGAGTAGCCCAAGAGTTGGCGGTGGGTGCTGATGACTAGCTGCCTTCCTTCTAGTCTTTCACTGCTAAATTAGGGACGGCTAGTGCAGATAGCCTTCGTGTAGCTTTGCGCAAAATTCAAAACAAACCAAAACCAAGCTATACATAATTCCTTACGGCAAAATACGATGGCTCCACCTATGTCTGCTGGTTTTATAACAATGTTGTCTCTTTCTCACAAATTATCTAAGGCTAATTGTTCATCAGGAGAAATATTTTTTGACTTGTTCTTAAGGTATTGAATTCATTGATTTCATTCCTACATTATTGAATGAATTAGTCTAATGTAGTGAACTCACCGGAAGGTAGGGTCCATGAGGAATGTTTTGAAGGAAATCTAGAGAAAGAATCACAGGGGTGGTAAATGTAGAATCTGCTTGAGAGGTTTTTATAAAAATGAGATTTCAGTCTTAATTGCGAAAAAAAGAAAAAAGAATGATATCTTCAAAATGCTATACAGACAATTTTCAAATCATGCGCGGCGCTTTTGTTTTAAGTTTTACGATTTGAGGAAAAGCGCTAGCTCGAAACGTCATCTTCTATTGTGTGACGGAATTGCTTATACCTCAGCTTTGACAAAAATAGATTAGTGATCTAAGCATCTAAAGAAAGATTTTATCTATTATTTTCAACTAAATAAGCTAGTGTAGCTTCTACTTCATTGGTAACTAACAAAGTGATCAGAGAAAAATCTGATAAAAGCTTCGCTTGGTGATATGTTTGTAGAACAAAAGATGTTTGGGAACAACTTTAGCCACAATTACAGTCCTATTTTGTTTTAAAGTTTGCTCTATCATTGAAGCGTCGCTAGGTTTATTTTGTTTTGTATAATACTAAAAGGGTTATTTTGCATCGTCTTGTTCATTCACTATTAAAGATATAATTTTACTTCTGATTTTCTGTAAAAATAGTTATTTTACATTTACCATGTCATTGCATTTGATTCTTTATCTCGAGTTTTGATTTGTAAATTTTCTATTGTAGATTATGTTTTCTGTTATGTTTATGTATTGTGTAATGATCTTACAGATACAAAAATATGTTACATTTATTTCTTGACCAATGCAGTTATTAAAATTGGATTTAACATCAAAAATGACCAAACGGTAAAGGGGAGAGAAAAGGAGTAGTATGTGTTTTCTACCCTCTTATTTATTATAACTTTTTCAAAATTTTCGTATATGCAGCGTATGTAATTTCAACACAGAATGTTTGTGAAGAAAGTAGCTAAATGTCTTTCACCCTACTACCTACTGTCCTGGATCATTCACCTGTGGTATTACGTATGTTTTCTCGTGGGAAATATTTCTGTAAAGTTACACATGCTATATAAAAGTAGACAACAATCTTTCCTACTGGCGAACTATGTGATACATCGAGAATATAACCTAATTTTCGTTTTTTGAGGGGAATGACCAGCAATGACGTGAAAAGCGCATGCACCTTGACAAAAATAACATTATTTTTTCGTGTAAATAATACTATATTTTCTCAATCTAGAACAATTCTTCAAAGGATAACAGCAGATATTTCTGGGAAAACTCAGATCTTGACTAAAGGCACGTCGTAAGTGAATACATTCATTCTGATTGTTTAAATGTGTTTTATTTCGTGTCCAATCCTTCGTAATTTCCAACTCAGTCAAAGTTGAAAAAAAAAGTTTAACTTTGCATAAAATCTTCTGTTGAACTTCCAGAGAAATCAGTGCTCTTGAAAATACCACAATTATACACATTTTCAATATGTTTAGAAAATATCAATGTACTTCACCGTCGATTGGTGTCAATGCTTTAAGTGATAACTGGTGACAAATAATCTACGACATAATTGTTATATTTTTACTTTAGTTGTTTATTTTAGAACAAAGCCACATTGGGCTATCTGCTGTGTCCACCGTGGGGAATAAAACCCAGGGTTTTAGCGTTTTCAGTCCGTAGACTTACCTCTGTCCCATCAGAGAACTTTTTATTTTGGACCAATGCTATTCGGCCAAAATAGATGGTTTGACCAGCTTCGTATGTTATCACTATTAATCAGTAACCACGAGCTATGTAGAACAGTGGATTTATTTCATGTTGATTGTATTTAATCTCCTTTTTTTTTCTGGCTTTATGCCATTATTTTACTGCAGTGTATTCAATGGGGGGGGGATATTTTAAAAACATCGTTGAAGTGAATTAATTAGTATCTTAACTGATTTTTAAAGGCAATTATAATTATTGATTAACTGCTCCAAACAGGTAGAAATGAAGTCAAAAAAAAAATGCACATTATTATTTTATGATTTTACATAATTATATGAAATACCTTTGCTGTCGAGTTAATTCTTTATTCTAAATGGGGTAAAATAGAATTATTTGTGTATAAATGTGCTTAACTTGGCTTGGTTCAAACTTCTTTTCTTATTTTTTTTTACAAACCGCATCGAGAAACAAACAAATATTTGAAGGTAAATAATTGTTTGGTGGATGAATATAGTTGTGTAGGTGCGACGACAGTAAAATAAGATAGAAATATAAGAGAGTACATGGTCCCAAAACACATGTTTTTAACTAATAGAATGGAAGTTCTATTACGGGCTGAATCGGGTGAAGTTTGAAACCTTACAAGATTGCTCTGTGCTTCATATCGTTTGCTACTGTTTCGTTCCAGCGATTCTCAGCGTGTATTCTTTTATAACCAACTATGTGTACCATAAATTAATATTTTGTGTCACGCATGAAAAAAAAAAACTAGCAGTATATTTTATCAGTGATTTAGATTGTTTTTCCGATAACGTACATTCTAAGTAAGAAAATTCAGTATTTTCGGCCTTGTAAAGTTTATTTAGTAATCATACAGTATGCAAAATAGGAATTAGTGTCCCAGAATATTATGATTCTCAATATAAAAATATGCTACGTTTGACACTGTTATGAAATAATCAAATTTTGAGGTCTATTTTTTCATATTTGGAAGGTTCTCTCCCAAAAACTCTTGATATGAAGTAGGTAAATTTCATAAGAAAAAAATGTGCATCACTTATTTATTATCTCAAGTTTTAACAACGTTATCTAGAATTATTAATACGAGTATTAATGACTATGTTTCGTAATCTTTCCTCCAAAATAATAATAAAACATCTCTTAGTAGACTTTTTCAAAACATTTGGATAAAAATAGAATAGTTGTTTTT